TAATATAACATATTATAAAAATCCATCACGATAATTTAAAACGTATACATGGAGCAGAATAATACAGATGTGCCAAAAGTGCTACATAGATGTACAAGTAATATACATGTATTTATTAGATTATTATAACATGTTGCATATAATTTCTAAATTTTACATCAAGACTGAATTAAAAGTACATTTCTGTTAATGCTGTTTTCCTATTTGTGAAGTTTGCATGCATGATTCAGTTGCTCCCCCCCCCTAATCAATATAACATGCAATATATCATGACTTTTTCAAAAGAGAAATATAACAATCACTACAAAAACAGCATCATCCACAATAATTACTACACTGACATTTCACTGTGAATTACTTTTTCTTTACTCTTTCTATTTTCTACCATTAGACCCAGTGTCAATGGGTAACTCAGATAATGTCTTTCCTTTATATGTCTTGCTCTACATTTTTTATTATACGATCCATCGGAGTATAAATGGATTTATTGGTTAGTTCATCCACTGACTGGGAAATTACCTGCTTGTTAAAACTGCTTGTTTTTGCAGCCAAATGATACACTTGAAGGCATTTTTATAGGGCATCTCCTTGTGAGTAGGGAGTACCAATATGGCGGCCGGTGGCTTTACCTTTTTCGGTCTATAAGCCATCCAGTGAATGAATAGAGGTCAGTGTGTGTAGCTGGCTATGCAAATGGTTGGCAGTGATCTCTATACAGGCTTTTTACTCTCTAGACCTGGATTCTCCACCTCTGCTAAATTAGTTGATTATCAATCCAATAATTGATTAATCTGATTGAATTGTTTCAGCCCTCCTCTCTGGGGATTATGAAGGCAGATTACCTGGTACCATCAGTGCTCCATTAAAATGGTAGTTCTGCTAACAGTCCTGTCCTGGTACCCTCCACTGCTGTATTCAGATCAATTATGGACCAAGGCTCAGAAACTGACCTCAGAAAAGTTCAAAATGCTGCAACTGTCTCCATCAGAGTAACTCCAATAATAACCTAAAGCTTCTAAGAAACAAAGATGTGAGCATTTTGGTGATACACTAATGCAAAACTTCCTGCTCAGCAGTGGCTCTGCTTTTTGGAGCTGGACTGCAGCCTGGGAGAAGGTGAAGCAGGACATGGGCCCCTTTAGGGGTTACTGGGTGTGTGATGCTATCCTGGAACCACTGGGAGGCGCTGCAACATCACCTATCTGTACAGTGACAGGACAGTTATACAACAGGTCATGCTGACCCTGGAAGGTGTTCAGGAAAAATAACCACAACAAAAACAAAAATGATGCACTGAATAATTGATGGTATGATTCTACTGGGGTGAATGGGCGGAGTCCAGGTTCCCTGAGGAAAGGTGATGCATGGGACAGACTGAACACCAGCAGTCTGTTGGATTTAGCCCTCAGCTGCATGCTTTATTTATTTCCCTGTGATTAACAAACTGTCAGTCACAGCAGGAATAACGCCTACAGAGACGCTACCAAAGATACTCTGAGCGTGTCCTTCAATAATGACTGGAAATTAGCTTTTTCTAGAGGATGTTCATGTGTTTTTGGATTTTTCACCTATTAAAGAAGTAGAAACCAGCATGATTCAGCATCAGGGATAAACAAGGATAACTAGGTGAGGCTCATAAATATGCAAAGCTGAAAAGAACAAAAAACAAGATAGGACCAGAGAAACGGGAACTGATGTTAGAAATGCAAAACCAGAGCGGCGATGCGGCCGAGCTAAAAGGGAATGTAATGTAAACAGAGCAGGTGGCGTCAAAACATTTCAACACTACATTCATCCTGGATTCTTGCTGAAAGATTCGTCTGGCACCAGAACATAAAACTCATTTCCTCATTTCTTTATACTTCCTGAACATTTTTCCATGTTAAAAGGGTAACATTTTTTGTTATTTAATAGTATATTTAATGGTTGATCAAAGAAAGTCCTAAATATCCATGATGATTTACGAATATACCGTAATCCATGTTTTTTTTTTTTTATGTTTATTGTAAATAAACCTCTGAAAAACCAAATGTTTTGTCCGTTTATAATTAGTTCTTAGCAGAATACAACTACTAATCCTTCTTTTCCCAGCATTTATTGTCACGACTCTGTCCCGCTTTTATCTCAGTGCTAGTGGTTCAGATTCAGCTTCTTTATTTGAATGTCTAGAATCTAGTTGCCCCTCATCAGTGTAAATATTCTTGCTTCGGTTACGCCTTT